ATGGCCATGATGCATAGAAACTGAATCAATCCCTTCGGTACGGATATTCATCGTTATCTACCCCCGAACAATCTGTTTATGGTTTTACGCACTCAGCAATATTCCAACTTTAGGAGAGAGTTTTGTAATAATCGAGTCTGGACAATGCAATCCAGATATTGACATCATGGGCAATTGGGCTACGTCATTACGTCATGCATCAAACAAGCCAGCGAGGCTCACCACACGATCCCATTTGCCACCTTCTCTGAAAGGCATTGCTCATGAAAGGTTGCTCAGGATCATTTCTAAACTGTAGTTTCCTGGGTAGTCAAGTCAGACGTATGCCACGATTAGATAGGTGGGGTGCTAGGTACACATTATACTCCGGGTCCCACGTGTGTGATTGATGTGGTCTAGGGGAAGGGGAAGAGAGAGAGAATTGATCTCAATCAACTCTACCTGCCAACACGACATCTGAGGTCACAAGATCAACTGCTTCTCTGTGTCCCCTCCACTAGAACCAGAACATTTGGAGACAGATATTTCGACACATCCGGACCTGGAACAATCTGCCATTAAGTCTGAGGTCAGATTATGAACCGTCAGCTTTCAAAGCAAATCTAAAGACCTACTTCTTCCATGAGGCATACACTGTTCCCTTAATAAGACCTTAACAAGTTTTCAACTGCCAGTTCCTAGCTCAGTACAGCACTTTTGAGTGGTTCAACCAGATCCAAGCGCTCTACAAGTATTTTTTATAGATATAAATATCATTGAACTGTCTGAGCACACCTCATATAGGTGGTTTACTGCTGGTAGGATGATTGGATGGGTGACCGTGTTTGGCAGCTTGACTTGTGCTCCTGAGAGTTTCTAGGACTTGAAGCCTGCCCCACAACGAAGCACATGTGATACATGTAGTCTCGCCTTAGGCAAGTGAGTTTGTTCAAAATATTGCCTGTGTTCACCTAGTCGAACCCACCAAGAACGTACCGGAGAATATGAAGGCTCCCCAACCCAACACTGCAGCCTTCTGCATTACCCAGAGTGTCAGAAGGGCTGTGCTCCCGGTGGAGAACCCGGGCACTCTCCTGATCCTCGCCAACAGATCAGGAGGTACCAAACCAAGGGCACCGAGAACAATGGGGAGCCTGACGACAGTGTACTTGGGATGCAAGCGAGACATTTCAAAGGTGAGGTCCACATATTTATCATGCTTTTCCTGAATCCTGCCAATCACACTGCTGTCAAAAGGAACAGAAAATTCAATGATATAAATAAATTCATTGGCTTTATCAAAAAGGACAAGATCAGGTTTGTTGGCAGGAATTCTTCTGAGGCTGTATATGGGCTTATTCCACAGACGTTTGAAAGCATCATTTTCCATGATTCCCTGGACATGTTCAGGGTCGTACCATGGATGGATCTTGGAGTCAAAGTCACAGACATGGCGAAGAAGATAGTAAAAGGAACGAGCCATGCCATCATGTCGTTTAAGATATGCTGTTTGTGCCAAAGAAGGGCATCCACTGACAAGGTGTTGGACAGTCTCTGTAAATTCATTACACAGTCGACATTTCATATTGATATTTTCTTTAAGAATCACATTTTGGCGATTACGAGTGGGGAGTGACTGGTCCTGAGCAGCAAAAAGGAAGCCCTCAGTTTCACATTTAAGACCAGCCGACTTCATCCAGGCAAAGGAGTCGGTTGGATTGCTATTCTGTTCCAAACACTGCATGTACACACGATGCAGTGGTTTCTCAGAAAGCTTCTCCACAAATGACCGACTCTGGGCAGACTTGGTGAAGGACTTCACCTGGTTTACTCCCATCGCTGTACATCGCGTACAGCAGTACATCGCCATCAACAAAATCAACCTCAAAATTCAGATTTTGTCCAACAGCCTTGGCACGCTTAAAATAGCTGTGGAATTCCTTGCTTTTCATCATGAGTCTTCACATGCATCACCAGAAGATCATCCGACAAATAAATATGTGCAAAGTGCACAATAAAATTCTATCATGAAGAGCCTCCACGTTAATCAAACCCCGATCTCCAGAATTGATTGGCATATATAAACGATTGAGAGAGGAACGAGGGTGGTGAGCTCTGTTATCAGACATGATCCTTCTGGTCAGGCGCTCAAGACTGTGGATGTCTTGTTTTGTCCAATCAACTACTCCAAAGGAATAGGAAAGGACTGGCACAGCAAAAGTATTGGTGGCTTTGACCTTGTTTCGAGCATTTAGCTCTTTAAGCGAGATTTATACTCGGCCCGAAGTTTTTCTTGAATCAGGGCTTTCTGGAGCTTGTCTCGAATTTGTATTCCCAGATAGGTGTAGGCCTGATTTCCCACAAGATGCTTAATAACTCCTCCCCCCTGTGACTTGACCGATCCATCATTAACTACCTTGCCACGTTTCAAATGAAGAGTATTACAGTTGTCGAGTCCAAATGTCATGCCAATATTATTATAAAAAGGATTCGACAAGGAGAACCTGTTCTTTCAAATTGGCGTCTCCTTTGGCAAGGAGCTCGATGTCATCCATGTAAAGAAGGTGAGTAAGTGGTGTTGGGGGTCTGTGCTGAGGAGGTCTGGGATGGTAACCCTCCTCTTTATTGAGCAGAAAGCTCAAAGGATTTAGAGACAAACAAAAAAAGCAAAGGACTGAAGGAGTCCCCTTGAGATATTCCCCTTCTGATTGGAATAGATTTGAGTAGACCAGCAACTCATTAAAAACTTGACTAAATCAAGTAGTCGCTCAGGGAGGTCAATACAACTCAGAGACTTCAGAATCCATTTGTGAGGGAAAGAGTCGTATGCCTTTTGCTAGTCAATCAAGCACATGTAGAGGTTGCGGTGATATGTTTTAGCCTCTTCCAAAATCATTTTCTGTACAAGAAGTTGATCCTTGCACCCCCAACATCCCTTTCTTGCTCCCTTCTGCTCTCTGTAACTTATATCATTGGAAGAACAGTAAGATGACACGAGGTTTGTCAAACACCCTGTGAAGATTTTGTATTGTGTATTCAAACATGTCATAGGGCGGAAGTTTTGGGATCAGTCAAGTCCCCCTTTTTGGGAAGGAGTATGGTGCGACCTTTGCAGAACCATGGAGGAACATCACCTGTGTCCACGAGAGTATTGAAGCAGTGAAGTAATGGTGTTTGGACACAGGGGAACAGTTTCCAGTACCGGTTTCGAATGCCATCAGGCCCTGGAGCTGTATTAGATTTAGACTTTTTGATAACACTTTTCAGGCAATCTGGTGAGATGTAACAGACAAACGACCTAGTTATTTTCTCATGCATTGCATTGTCATAATCACGGACCCATGGTGCCTCCAGGTTACAGTCGCCGGGTACAGACCACAACTGTTTCCAGAACCTTTCATTGGCATCCATGGGAGGCCGTTTATTATGCTCACCATCACCGTTTGATTTCAGTTGCCTGCAGAAGTGTTTGTTTATTCTGTTCAAAATTGCCTGTGTTCACCTAGTCGAAGAACATACCGGAGAATATGAAGGCTCCCCAACCCCAACACTGCGGCCTTCTGCATTACCCAGAGTGTCAGAAGGGCTGTTTATTCTGATCCTCGCCAAGAGATCAGGAGGTACCAAACCATTTATTTTATTTTCTCATTTTTTCTTTCTTTCGGTCCAAACCTTTATTTTGGCCTTAAGGGAATCGACAATTTGGAGAAATACCTTTTCTGTCTTATACTGTAATTTTAATTTTCTTCAAATTGACTTTTGTCTTTTAGACATGGGATTCCCTGATGATCTTATTTTAAGGCACAGCTCTATCCAGGAAATGTTTCTTCTAGTTTCATTAAGTTTTACTTGAAACCGGTTTTTCTTTGATGTCTTGTTCTTAGAATTGGGTGTTTTTTCCTTAGAAACTGAGTGAAGTTCCTCCAAAGTTCGATTGGCAGCATAGACTCAGCAATTCACTTCAGTCCGCAGAAAGTTTCAAGGAAATAGCTTCATTTAATAAATCAATTTCATTTTTGGGAAAAGAAACGTTTAGTTGTTTAATTGGCCTCCACTTTTCCAAAGGTAAACCACAAATTTCCTCATAAATAGTGTTAAACATGATATAAACAGGGTTCTCAGAAAGATCTGCAACTGTAGAAGAAGAAGAATGAGAAGCAGAAATTTCGGGGCCAATTGGCTCTATGCCAGAAGGGTTTGTTTCGGGAAGAAGAGAGAGGTTCACGCGGACATCCATTAGAAGTTTTGGATCTGCTGCCACTTGAGCATTCTGCTCATGCAAAGGTTCCTGACGGGCAACAGTTGTGGGTTGAACTGGCTCACGGGGCATGAGATTATTAAGCCGCCGGAATTGATCTCGGAGATTTTGCTCCGTCAGGAAAGCATACATGGGCATGGCATTGTCCCAATGCAGCTTAAGCGACTTGCCATTGATGCGTTTATTATCAGGCCATCCTGTCGCTTTCGCACACTCAAGTAGTGTGGTTTTGAGATGGTTTGACCAAGATATTCTTGATCGGGTGCTGTGCCTTCCCTTGGGACAAGTCCCATCTCCAGTATGACTGCAGGAAGGCTGACTGGGCTGCGGAAGTGAATTAAAACTTTCCTCTTGGCTATCTGTAACCCAGTGAAAAACCAGCTTCGGGGGGTCAGCCCTAACTGGGTGATGCACGTTTGGTTCAGGGAATATAATTCCCCTATTTAGGCCCACCACGGAGAGGCGTACATAATCAGGCCCTTATTAGTATTATTTTTTACAGATTAAAGATAGTATGCAGCAGAGAGGGTTCGGGTGATCCTGGCACAGTCAGGCTGGTAAGGCTCATCATCAGCTCAGGGCCCTTGCCCCCTCTACACGCAGCCCAGACAGTGAATGGGACTTCTCCCAGGAAACACTGCCTAGTCGAACCCACCAAGAACTTTATTATTTTGTTTTACGGATTAAAGATTAATATTATTATTACTACGCAAAACACAATAAAGAACAAACAACATACCACCTTTCATCCCCAAATCCTTACCTGGAATGTGCGACAGTTCTAGCGCAGCAAAAAGGTCCGTGATAGTTGCATCTGGTGCTGGCTTGAAAGGTGCGATCTCTATATTGGTTCCAACAGGAGCAGTGTCCGTGTCAGGAGGTTTAAGTTGGCCTCCAAGCTGCATCGTCAACGTACTGTTGCTTCGGGCAAACGTTAAAAGGACCATGAGTGCGAGGACTGTCTGAGCCATCTTTTCAGCAACTGACTTGTGTATTGAGACTTGTAATCCGTGTCACTTTCATAGAGTCATGTGCAACGGCTGGCTAACCACGCCACAGAATTACTGCTAGGGTATCTGTTATCAAATGAAATCATAGACACGACTCAAAATCACGCTGACATGCTCATAATTACAGTGTTGTACAGTTGTGTGTAAACGATCTGAAGCCATGGGGTGTTGTCTGTCGTAGGGTTATTATTATAACCTCCATGTTCCCGTAAACCTCGGAATCAATATCCCTGGACGTAGATTTGGTAATGCCTGAAAATGAATTGAAAGAGAACAAACAGCAAAATTTCAGTTTCACTGGTTCATGGGTAACTCAGGAAAGGGTGTTCTGCATTGTAATGGAAGATGTAAAACACTAATGTACGTGACATCTCCGGGCTTCTTCTGGCTTAAGACCCGTGAAGATCAAGGTTAGAATTGATCTTCAGTAACCCATGCGTGTCGTAAGAGGCGACTGACGGGATCGGGTGGTCAGGCTCGCTGACTTGGTCGACACAGTTGTGATGTCATCGGTTCCCAACTGCGTAGATCGATGCTCATGCTGTTGATCACTGGATTGTCTGTTCCCGACCGCGCTGAACAACAAAGAAAACAAATTTTCTGGCAAGTGAGAAGAAGACATGTTCAGATTACTAGTTAATGATTACTGAATATATTGATCAACTTTTGTTTTACCATTTTGCTGTTTAGCATGTCAGTGATTTCCGATCATGATCAGGTGTGATTTTAGATGATTTTAGAGATTATTTTCATTTCTTCGCTTATGGCGCTGGACGTTCTGTTACTAGTGTGAGTGGTATAGTGAGTGAGTATGGTTTTACGCCGCTTTTAGCAATATTCCAGCAATATCTCAGCGGGGACACCAGAAATGGGCTTCATACATTGTACCCATGTGGAGAATCGAACCCGGGCTTTCGGCGTGACGAGAGAACACTTTGACCACTAGGCAACCCCACCCGTTACTGGTGTGCTTAAACCCCCACACACACACACAAAACACACAAAAACCAACAATAATTTATAGAACAAAGAACACAACTCTAATTCTCTCCTAACACCTCACCAGTAAGAAAATATTCCCTTTGAATTACGAAATATCTGTCTCTCTCAAAGAACATTTTTCATTCGTCTTTTAAGGTTCTTGCCATATATCTTTTTCAAAAAGGGTTAACCTCTGAGGTGTATTCAATTAACAAATTAAATATAAACAAATATCAATTTTAAATACTGAAATAGAAAAGTTTCATGAACTATATTATCCGGCCAAGCTGAGTGAACGTTTTTTTCGAGTTTGGTTCATGCAAGATCTTAACATTAACTCTAGAATTACTAGAAATACATTACACAGTCATTCACGATTTCAGTGTCAACTGTCAGTATCTGTAAGATTTGGCAGGAGCACCATCGATAGCACTTCTAAACGTTTATCTTTCTTTACACAAGACTTAGTTGCACAGGGAACAAAAGTAAATGACTGACCGTTGATAGGGCTTACATCAATCATTACGATACACCTGAAAATCATTTTGATTTGGTATTTTACCATCAGGCCTTCGTGTATTTGCAAGCATTAAAGATTTTTAAAAACTATAAACAAATTAAGATGACCCCTGACTGTGAAGCATTTCGAGTCGGGGGTCATCTAAGAAAATAAATTAATCTCTGATCCTCGCAAAGAGACGAGGGCCAGTGATTTTATCTATATATGCATGTAATGCATCGCTCGCGATCGAGAACAATACGATTTCACCTTCTGTAGATATGATTATCACGGAACCCAATACAGGTGCAATGTTTCAAAGACATGAACAGGTGTTTCTTCACTTGTCAGCTTATTGGTCCAACCTTTTAATCAGGTGAATTTTCTCTCTATAATATACCCTTGGAATATTCAAAATGAACTTTCAGCCAATGATACTTTGTCTCTTTGTATTTTGGCAATTCCAAATGACCAATGGACATAGCTGTAGCAAATTAGGAGCAACGTGACCATGTAGGTAATCCGAAATACTTGTCCCGCTTTAAGTTCACAGTTAATGCGGAAATCGAGTTTTCTATAAATCTCTAATTTAAACATATTCTGTGCTTTTACTGATCAAAAACGTTAATAAACTGATCCACTTTCGATCAAAAACAATTTTACATGTAATAGCACACTTGTTGTAGGTCAGTCCATAATTTCGAACTGCAGAATCGGAAAATCCATTCCATTTTAGTAGCACCCATTAGCTTTTCCTGGATTTTAGCGATCGGCCGACTGGTATCTTGGAATCGGTTCGAGAGGCATGTTCAGTAATAATACCGTGAGTGCTGAGCGCTGAGCGTACATGTTATACCGTCGCAGCCTTTGATATTTTCAGATTTGTCGGAAGTACTCCGCACATAAATCGTTCTTTATATCTTTTTGCGAACTTGGCATGTGTATTACCCAAGTACTGAAGTGGTGCCTTTTGATATTTTCAGATTTGTGAAAAACAAATGAGTGAATTTCGCTTAGGATTCACATGGAAAATAAGCTAGGGCGATTGTGTGGACTCATGGATGTGTGTGTGTTTTTGTGAATTGTGTGATTTTCAATGTGTAGGGGTTTTTTGTTTTTGTTTTGTGTTTTGTGTGTGTGTGTGTTTTGTGTGTGTGTGTGTGTTTGTGCGTGTGTGTGTTTGTGCGTGTGTGTGTGTGTGTGTGTGTGTGTGTGTGTGTGTGTGTGTGTGTGTGTGTGTGTGTGTGTGTGTGTGCCATACACATTTTGATGATTCGTTACCATCCGCCATAAAACAGGAGCAATATATAGGACCATGTTCCTCCGCCCGACACTAGTATTGCATTGCCACATATGGTTACACATGACAAAGACCTTTGATATGAAATGTCAATATACTGGCGATGCGAGTACCGATCTCTAGTAGAAGCAAGCTTCGAACACACACACACACACACACACACACACACACACAAAACGAAATAAACAAAACAAAATCATCCCACGCCCTTCTCACTAAATTTCTTAATTTACTGAGGTGCCTGCAACGTTGCCTTTTCTTGTTGTCCAACGTAGTGAGTTTTTCAAACCGGAGTGTACTTTATTATTTTCAGACCTGAATGGTTTTACCATTTAAAAATGTCCCACTCATCTCATAACAGGTAAATGGAAACAGGAAAATGTAAATATGATATCAATGTTACGGGTACTTGGATTTTGATTTAAAAAAAACAAAACAAAAATCCCAACAAAAACAGTTACAAAACTATCTATTTGATTTTGATTTTTCTTCACTCGGCAATATTATATTTGGGACACTGTGCATTTGCCCTTTTCTGGATAATCTGCTTAGTATTTGGAAAAGTAATAATAATAATAATAATAATAATACATTTGTATAGCACCTATTATACAGCATAAGCTGCTCAATGGTGCTTTACATACAGGAGAGAGGAGGATCGCTACTGATTGAATAGAAAAGTTTTTAATTTCTGTCGGAAGATGTCAAAGGTTTCAGAGGATCTGATCTCCTGTGGTAACCTGTTCCACAGAGCTGGTGAAGCTACAGAAAAGGCTTTGCTAGCCAGTTTAGTTCTTGTAAAAGGAAGTGAAAGTTGTTGTTGTTGTTGTTGTGATGAGTGACGATTGCTTGTCGGGAGATAGGGAGTCAGAAGTTCTTTGAGATAAGCAGGAGCTGAGTCGGAGTGGAGTGCAGAGTAGGTCAGACTGAGGATCTTGAAGGTGATGCGCTGTTTGATAGGAAGCCAATGGAGCTGTCTCGGGACTGGGGTGATGTGGTGGCGCTGTCTGGTACGAGTGATGGTACAGGCTGCTTTGTTTTGTACACGCTGAAGAGGAGAAACAGAACCAGATCCGGATATGAGAGAGTTGCAATAGTCGAGATGAGAGGTGACATAAGCATGCACGAGTGTTTTGCATGTATCAGCGTCGAGATACTTTCTTATCTTTCCAATGGTGTAGAGTTTGAAATTTGCTGATCTAGCTGTTTTGCTGGCCTGCATTCGATCAGGCAGTTGTCTGTCCATCTCAATCCCAAGATTCCTGATAGTGCTCGTTGGTGTAATAGGTGACGTTCCCACCGAAAGTGTTGGGCTTCCTAGGAGAACCAAGGATCATGAACTCTGTAGAAGTAGACAAATAACAACCTTTTGTACTCAAGGAAAGATATACTGGCAAACAAGGATAAGTTGAGCACTGACATGACAACTGACCCGTATTAGCGTGCCGCCCACTGGCGCTTGCCATTGTTAGCGAAGGGGCCCCAGGTTGTCCGCGATCAAGTGTAGTGCTACTTGCTACACCGACATGAGAGTCTTACGAGCAAGGCGTGTGCAGCTACGCGGAATCAATTTCATCGCCAGGTAATGCACGTGCACTAGCCTACATCTGCTCTACCTTTCCCAAACCAAATGGGTTTGCCCATTGCCGTGCACCGCCTACTTCAGGTAAACGTGTTCTCTGCGCCGGTCCAACTTATCCTTGTTTGCTAGTGATTGTTTAAATAATGATATAATGACTGTATAGAACATGTGCATGTGATTGTTCATCTCCTTCAGTACAAGTTTCACAGAAGACATGGGGCGGTGGGGTAGCCTAGTGGTCAAAGCGTTCGCTCGTCACGCCGAAGACCGGGTTCGATTCTCCACGTGGGTACAATGTGTGAAGCCCATTTCTGGTGTTCCCCGCCGTGATATTGCTGGAATATTGCTAAAAGCGGCGTAAAACAAAACTCACTCACAAAAGACATTAAGTCCGAGAATAAGGGCAATGATCATGAGTGTCAGTATTTAACATTTTGCTGATTTATAGATTACATGGTTTGAGTCCCTCCTAAAACTTAAAGTATACATTTCTGTATGTTCGTAAGAGAAACGTGCGAATAATAGGTTTCTTCTAGTCACAGAAATATACTGATAGAAGCAAATAAGGAAACGCTACATCTTAGCAACCCTGGAAAAAC